ATGTTATATAATTTAATTTTAATAATAAAATATATTATTTTTGTTCTTTGTGTTGTTTTTTTTTTTACTTTTTTTTACTATTTATTTTATATTTAAAAATTAAATTATTTGTGTTTTAAAATATAAAAAATCACAAAAAAAACTCTTATAAAAATATTCATATATTTTTTTATATTAAAAAAAATCCTGATACTGTTGTTAACATCAATATTGTGTTTACAAAAAATTTAAAAAAAATAAAAATAATATTAAAATCTTTTTATTAATACTGCAAAAGGATCAGATATACTCCACCTAGGTGTGGCTTTTACAGATAAGATCTAAATTCGAGCTATCTTAAGAGTGAATACATGACATAAAAGACACACCCTGTTGTGATAATTTAGTAAAAGTTAGGCTAATTTGTCTGCTGAACCTAAATCGTATTTAAATAAACTGTAGAATGGAATTTGTCAAGATAACCATCACCTGATTTATTTTTATTTTATTTATGTTTGTATTATTATCACTAATCTCAATCGATATACCCCTCCTAGTAACATCAGAAGTTTTAACAATAGTTATTCTATCTATCAGCGCTGTAAATCATCTCCTTTACAGTTTATTATAGTATAAATTACATGTATACTATACTAAATTGTGAACTGTTTATATATTATTTATTAAATAGATTCTTTTTAAAATTTAAATTCATTTTCTCTAATAAAATATTTAACAAAATAATAATATACTGTTTATTTCTGTATAAAATATATGTAAATTATACTATAGCAAGCATACATTAAAATATATACTGCTTACTGCCTTAACAATATAACTTTTGTTTAAGGCTTATTAAAATATAAAAAAAATATTTATATTAAATCGTGTATTTATTTATAGAACAGTAAATTACAGTTTATTACGTACACGTATGTTGTTTATAAATAACTTTATTAAATAAAGAATTCGCATTATTTTTTATTTATTTCTGACAATTCCTTTTTTTTATTTTTTATTTTAATTAATTTCGTCTTATTAGAAAAATTCAAAAGAAACGAAACTAATTATTTTCTTGCAGAAACTAAAATTGAAAAAAAAAATAATAAAAGTAAAAANAAAGTACTTAAGTATCAACAGCACTATAAGGCTAATGTCAGACGAGCGTGAAAAACCACGGACATGTTAACATTGTTTCCAGGAAGTGCCTGGTCAGTGTTGTTCCTGCCGAAGAGTACGGTACTCGCGTATTTTAAAAAATAAGACATGGATGTTAGTAAAATAATCGTACAAATTATTGAGAAAAAGTTTATTTGAACTTTATAAAAACAGAAATTGTTTTAATTTTTAAATATTTCTGCACATAATAAAAAACATCACATCTCAATCTGTGAGATCCATGTTGACATATACACGCGTCTGAAATGGAACATTACCAACGCGCTCCGTGAAAAATAACGCTCGTCTGTCCACATTTCTCTCCGTGAAATTTCACGTGTAAAAAATAGCGTCGGTGCTTTTTCACGCTCTTCTGACATTAGTCTAAAAGTTCCCCCGCGTTTCTTTATGCAGCGAAATGACGTCACGAGCAGTGATAGTCAATTAGAAACCAGTTTCAATGTGTTCGCTGTAAAGCGCTTCTCGAGCGATGCATAAAGAAACGCGGGGTTATGCTGTGCCTGCCAGGGATCGAACCTAGAACCTTCCGCGTGTCAGGCGGATGTGATAACCACTACACCACAAGCACTTACTTGAATTAATGCTCAAATCTAATCAATAACGTATCTTAACATATTTTGAAACTCAAAAAGCTAATGCTAGTTGGATGAAAAATCCAAAGAAATGTCTTAATCTGATGCTTAAAAAATATATATATTTATTGAAGGTAAAAAAAATATATATATATATATTTATGTAGTAAACAAGAAACAAAAAGAGTTTTACAGAAAATTTTTGTAAATATTAATGACGAACGTGGACCAAAAAAATAAAAAAAAATAAAAAATAAAAATGTATTATTAATAAAGCAATCCCTAAGGGTGCAATGTAAAAATTTTTGCATATTGTAACAACATCAGGTTAGATGAAGAAATACATTCTTGATTTTCCACAGGAATAACATTACTGAATTTACATTTGATTGTAGCTGAAGCAACACCTTGTACATTCTTTAACTTATTATAAAATGCAACAAAATTCTTTTACTTTTCTATGTAAACCTTAATAAAAAAAATCTCTCTCTATATTTTTAAATACTCAATAATAAAACAGTGTTATTGTCTATAATTATAAAAAAAAATAATAATAATAAAAATTAATATTTATGTTTTAAATCATGTGATGTTTTATACTTTATAAAGTTTTCTTCCTTTATGAATATAATTTTATGAAGTTTTCAGCGCTTAGTTTTTGTTATTAAAAGGAATTTCGTCGTAACTCGAG